TTTGACAGTTCATTGCCCCAGCAGCTGTTTCGACGCGTCTACATATATTCTTCTACCATGCTATAACTTCTTAATTCTACCATGGACGAGTATGGGTAGATGCATCAACGCTTGGAAACATTGATATGTCAAAATTTTTATATGTTTTCTTATACGACACCAATCAGATGTTGTAATGATACGCATTTTTCAACAATTTTTACAATTTTTAAAAAATTTGATTTAAAATTTTCAATAACAAAATTGGTTTGACAGTTTATTGCACCAGCAGCTGTGTCGATGTGACTACCTGTATTCTTCTATCATGCATGGACGTACGTTAAATTTATTGTGATTAGTCAACCACATGGTACAATAATACAGGTAAGTGTATTAACGCTTGGGGACATTGATATGTCAAAAATGTTAAAATGCTTTTTCAAATATAAGTAGATTTTTATATATTTTCTCATACTACGTTAATCGGAGGTTATTATAATCATGGTACAAAAAAAGGTAAGGTAGAACTACCAGCTGATTACAATTTTTTTCTAAGTGCGACCGACATATTTGTGTATGTATTTATTGTTTTGAAAAATAAAAACAAAATATTCTCAAAATCAATGATTGGAAAAAACATAAATAGCGGGGCGCGCATTAATGATATTAACCAAACGGAATTGAAAGATTGAAAACTTAGGATCATATTTTTCAGAGAACGTCCAGGCATTTCATTCATCTTTCGCGATGTTTGACGCGTTTGAAAAATAAACAAAAAATATCAAACAAATGAAAACAACTTGTTGGATATAACTTTGAATAATTCTGACAGGAAGCGAGCATAGCCTCAGGGCTGTATTTCTGTAGTTTTATGAAGCTTTATTGTACCATGATTATAATATGATTTTTTTTGACAATTTTTACAAATTTGAATAATTTTTCATTCAAAAATTGTAATACCAAAATTGGTTTGACAGTTCATTGTGTCCCAGCAGCTGTGTCAATGCGTCTATCTATATTCTTCTACTATGGTCGACTATAACGTTTAAAGTACGTTTACATAAAAAAATATATACGGGTTAACCCTGATAGTCGACTAATCACAGTAAACTTATAAAAAGGAAACACACGTTAAATTTATTGTAGGTCAATTATCAAGGTTAAAAATATATTTACATAAACAACTTTAACCGGGATAACCTAGATAATTGAATATTTACAAAAATTTGACCATAAAATTGCCATATATCACGGTTAACCTGTGTAAGGATTTTGTATGTAAATTTTAACTTGGATCAATGGAGAATACAGGTAGTCGCTGCTGGGACAATGAACTGTCAAACCAATTTTGACATTTAAAATTTTGAATGATTGGTGTCGTATGAGAAAAGTTTTAGAAATGTACTCATTTAAAATCATTAAAAATTTTGACGTGTCATTGTTTTAAAAAATTGTAGCATCTACCTGTATTCTTCTACCATGCTCAGTTCATAACATTTGTTTGAAATCTCTATATTTCAAGTTAGTTTACATAATCAGCGTTGGAAATACCCCAGGGGCTTTCTAGTAGGTTTACATACAAACAGTTTACCCGGCGTAACCCTGATAATTGACCAATCACAATAAATTGGTTGATTGAGATTGGTCGATTATTAGGGTTAACCCGGCTTTAATATCTACTACTAATAAGATGTACGAATTTGGTAAAAATAAAAAGCCAGCAATTCTAAAAAAAAACTATATATAAATAAATGAAGTATAAATGTTTTAATTCCTTTATTCTTTTTGCTCCTCATAAAGTTTAGAACTTCTTTCTTGCTTAAGACCATAACGGAATGAACGCCCGCTTTATCAATATCACACAACCTAAAAGAGACCAGGGGCTGGATTCTTGTTCTATGAAAATATGAAATAAAAAATATTTCCTTTATAATATTTTTCATTTGACATTTCTTTCCTTTATAAAGGTTTTCATTTCACATTTTCATAGAACAAGAATTGTGGCCCAGGTTAAACTTCATAAACATGTTGTATGTAAACGTACTTTTAGGATCGATAAAGCAATTTCTGTGTGGTTGTTTTATCAACAGGGCCATGGCAGAAGAATGCAGTTAGTCGCATCATCACAGCTGCTGGGACAATGAACTGTCAAACCGATTTTGAAATTGAAAATGTTGAATGAAAAATTATTGAAATTTGTAAAAATTGTTGAGAAATGCATTTTATAACAACCTCCGATTTGTATCGTATAAACATATAAAAATTTACTTATTTTTTACAAAACAATTTTAAAATTTTGACATATCAATGTTCCCAAGCGTTGATGTATATTCCTGTATTCTTCTACCATGAACAGGGCATTACGCTTAATTAATAAAAATAACAATATACCCTACACCACATAGGGTATTATGTCTTTGTAAATTTGTTTGCAACATGGAGAAGGCATAGGATCTTCATAGAATCACTTTCTGAGTCGATTTATGCATGTCAGTTCGTCTGTCCATGTATATTTGTGAACTTAATGCAGATCGCATTTATTATCCGATTGAGGTGAAATTTTCCGAACAATATTTATTTGGCCCAAGAACGAACCCTATTGAAATTTGAGATAATCGGATCAGATTTAGATATAGCTCCAATATATATCTTCAACCGATTTCGGGTTAATTGTGCTCCAAATAGTCAATATTTGCCAAAAGTCTTGAATTTTGGTATATCCGACCAAATTCAGTCTGGAAACAAGTACATACAATTTGGAGAAAATCGGTTCAGATATTTATAGCTCTCATATATATGTTTCATCCGATTTGGTGTTTTAGTCCCCCACATTCGTAATATGGACACCACAAGAATGATGTTTGGTGTCAAATATCAGATGCAGCCTAGAAATACATCTGCCAAATTTTATCAAGATCGGTTCAGATTTGGATATAGCTCCCCCATATATATCTTCAACCGATTTCGGGTTAATTGTACACCAAATGGCCAATATCTGCCCAAAAGTCCTGAATTCAGTTCAGATATAGCTATTGCTCCCATATACTATATGTTTCATCCGATTTGGTGTTTAAGTCCCTCACATTCGTTATATGCATTCGACAACAATGACATTTGGTACCAGTTATCTTATAGAGCTCAGAAATACCTTTACCAAATTTGATCGAGAACGGCTAAGATTTGGATGTAGCTCCCATATATATCCTTAATCCTATTTCAGGTTTATTGTGAAATAAAAGCTAATATCAGCACAAATGGAGTGAATTTCGGGACATACGTTTCCATTTTGTGCAACTCGTCTCCGATATATATTTTTTTAATATAATCCTTCTCGAAGTGATATCATGCACTCTATAGCAATGTTATTTGGTGTAAAAGATTAAAATGTCTCCGTCAAATTTAGTGAAAATCGATTCAGAATTGGATATGCCTCTCGTATATTAGTTCCCTCTGAAACCAAACTAAACAACTCTAAAGCCAATCGTTGATAGGAGGTATGATCTACTTCAAATAAATTATTTTGTTACGGGAGCTTTTCTAAATATGCATAGTGGTGTACGATATCGTATAGTCGGCCCGCCCGACTTTTGACTTTTCCTTACTGGTTTTCCTTGCATACGTTGAAATAAGCATTTTGAAATCAACTCAATTCGAATCAGAGATAGGCACAATGCACTATATTTTTATTGCACTAATAATTTCACTATCAATATTCATTTAGTGGTAGTGCATTTTTATATTTCACGAAGACTAAAGGGTTAGTGGTAGTGAAAAATTAAATTGCACCACCACTAGCCATTTAGTGATATTTAAAAAAAATTGCAGAATATGATCTACATTGAGAAATTATTGCGAAATTTAAAATAGCAAATTGCAATGTTTTCGACTGAAAGTTGTAGATACCTAAAATCAGTCGTTTTCGCTATATGGGGCTTGTGTCAACATTGAATAATGTTACGTAGGGTAATTTTTCATTCAATATTTAGGCAAATACCAAAATTATCCTTCAAAATGCTGAGTATCAAGAGTTATAGCTTAATGGGGCTAAAACAAATAATGTTAGTAGCCTTAACATTTTCTACAAAACGGGTCTATTTCCTCTTAGAACATTAAACTCGAATTACAACTCAAGCTGTGGTACAAAAATTCGATAAAAAAAACTATTACAATTTCTTTACATTTTAAATTATTGGTTAACGGTAAAAACAATTTTAAAACGATGTATGTATATATTTTCATACTTGAACATTCGATTTAACATCTTGCTTCCTTAAAAGATTTCATTGATTTTTGTTTTTAAGACCCACATTTTATTCACTCTAACACACGTATCTCTTTCCATCTCATCATACTTACATGCATATACATACATATATAAAATATTTATTCAATATTTGATGTCCAATTTTTTATATAAAAATAAGCAACAACCAAATCAAACCACTCTTCTAGAACAAAACCCCTCCTCTCAAATAAGGAACACTAACGTCTATTTTGATTCTGAACAAAATTATTAAGGTAAATAAAATAAATTACACAAAAACAAACTATGTATTTAATTAGATTAGACTTATACATATATATATGTACTTAACAACAACTGTATTTATATATATATTTTGTTTGTTTTTACAATAAGCAGGATAGCAAAAAGAAATGGAAAAACAAACGATAAATGAATAAAAGTTTAGGTTAAGATTTAAAACTTTGTTATTTAGTTAAACTAAATTTTTTGTACATTTAAAATAGATTGTTTGTTTCAGCCCTTCTAAACGAGAGATGTTATTATTTTTATTTAAAAAAATATATATTGAAAAAAAAATAAATTATTAAACCTGTCCTTTTTATTATACCAAAATTTTTGTGATAAAAAAATGCTTTTTATATCCAACAAAAAAAAAGAAGATAATTAACAAAAAATTGCTCATATCATCGAATATTAACAAAAAAAAGAAGAAGAACTACAACCCAACCAATTCTATTATTAAATAAAGTGTCCAATTACAATACAAATGACAAGATTGTGTTTTAGTTTTGTTGTGGTGTGTTTTTATTAGTTCAGGGATTTTGTATTTACATTATTTCCAGTGTAAATATTAAAATATATTTAAATGTTTTTGGATTTCCTATCAAATATTAAAAATAATTCCGCTCGAGTCTTTATTCTTGCATGTAGCCTACATCTTGATCTGTATACATTTCAACTGGTTCTGCCCCCAATTTGTCATCAGCTTCCATCATTTCAACGTCACGGCAAGTAGCTGCCTGTAATTCTCGGCGAATTTCGGGAGTTAATTTTGGATGATATTGTTTTCTGAAAATATAAAAAAACGTAAAAATTAATGAAAGCTTCAAAAAAGAATTATTTTGTTACAAATCAAAACATAGAAAGTTTATATACCAATTAAATATCTTTTGAATAATACAAACGAAATAATAACCAGTAAGAAAAAGTCGGGCGTGCCGACTATATAATACCCTACACCAATATGCATATTTAGTAGAGCTACCGAAACAAAAGAATTTATTTCAAGTAGTTCATACCACCTATCAACAATTGGTTTTAGAGCAGTTATAGTTTGGTTTTAGAGGGAATGGAAGGCATATCCAATTCTGAATGGATTTTCACTAAATTTAATGTACTTGCTTCTAGACTGAATACGGTCGGATGTACCAAAATTCAAGTCATTAGGACTGATATTGGCCGTTTGGAGCACAATTAACGCGAAATCGGTACAAGATATATATGGAAGCTATATCCAAATCTGATCCAATCTTGATGAAGTGCGGCAGAGGCATTTCTGAGCTATATAAGATATATGGTACCAAATATAATTATTAGAAAGCATATTACGAATATAAGGGACTTAAAACCCAAATCGGATGGAACTCATATATGGGAGCTATAGCTATATCTGAACCGATTTTCTCCTAATTTAATGTACTTGCTTCTAGACTGAATTTGGTAGGATGTGCCAAAATTCAGGTCATTTGGTGCACAATTAACGCAAAATCGGTTGAAGATATATAAGGGAGCTATATCAAAATCTGAACCGATCTTGATAAAATTTGACTGGGGTATTTCTGGTCGGTATCTGATATCTGGTACCAAATTTCATTCCTTGGAGTGCATATTACGAATGTGAAAGACTTAAACACCAAATCGGATGAAGCATATATATGGTAGCTATAACTATATCTGAACCGATTTTCACCAAATTTGATGTACTTGCTTCTAGAATGAATTCGGTCGGATGTACCAAAATTCAAGTCTTTTGGACTGATATTGACCATTTGCATGTGCACAATTAAGTCGGTTGAATATATATATGGGAGCTATATCCAAATCTGAACCGATCTTGATAAAATTTGGCTGGAGTATTTCTGGTCGGTATCTGACATCTGGTACCACATACCATCATTGCATTTGGTTCACAAGAATACATGGACAGACGGACGGACGTACATGTATAAATCGACTCAAAAAGTGATTCTATAAAGATCCTCAAAGGTAACATGGGTCTACCTCGATTCCTTCTCCATGTTACAAACAAATGCACAAAGACAATATCCTTACCACTATGTGGGGAAGATTATGGAAATGTGCAAGGGCGATGAAAAATATCCATGAAGCGATTCTTAAAGCTGACAAGTGTTTTAAAAGGGCAGAATTCCTAGGGTTCGATCTAGGGTTTTTAAATTGTCGACAAACCAGCCGATAAAAAAACCTGGACGACTGAGTATCGCTTCTCTATGCTACAAACAAATGCACAAAGACATAATACCCTTACCACAGTGTGGTTTAGGGTATAAAAATATAAACATCAACCCTCACATAAACCGCAACTCAACTGGTATCTTCATGTTTTTCTTACCTTAACAATCCAAGTAAAGCTTCTTTTTGTTCGGATGAAATATCGTTCTTATAACGCTGAACAAATGTTAATAAACTTTGATGCCATAGAACAGGCATTTCACGTTTGTCATTTTCAAATCTGCAAAAAAAACACACAAATAAATTAATATTTTAATAAGAAGTATTTGCATACTCTCATACCTTAAGAAATGGAAAACAGCAGCATCTACCACACGATAAGGCAGAGCATAACGTTTATCTAGGAAATAACGAATGAATATCGAATTGGCACCGGTATAACCCATTTCACAGATTTTCAACAGGCAGGCTGACGAGTGGAGAACAGGTATTGAACTACGTGCAATAACGCTGCCAAATATAATTGCTTCTCTCAGTGTACAATCTCCCGATTCAAGCAATGGCAAAATGATACCCTTCATAAAGGCTGCAGGTTTGAAGAGGGCACGTTTCAAGGCATTATACAAATGCATATTTAATTTTTTGTATTCGGCCAAATCGTCACGAATTCTAGGCAGCAATACTAAATTGTAAAAACGCTGGGCCATAGCTTGAGACAACACCGATGAAAATATTCTAAAATGAATTTAGAAAAAGTCAATCAAATTGCATATAACTCAAATTGCAGATAACTCGAATTGCATATAACTCTAATTGCATATAACTCAAATTGCATATAACAATTTTAATTGTGACTTACCTTGCACCTTGGAACATAGCAGCAGCACTCCAGTTGTGTGGTTCTGTGATAAATAAAATCTGTTCCCAATTCCTAAGTTTAGGTATGATTTTAAAAGCTTTTGGAACTTTACCGCTACGATAGCGTTTCATGACATCACGTACACCCTCGTACATTTCCTTAACGCGAGGATCGAGCTCCTCAATCTTAAGAGAACCCTCATCGGAGAGTTTGGTATGGATATCAGCCTGTTTTTCTTGGATCTTTTCCATTATAATTTCGGAAAGCTTCAACGTGCGTTTTCCACCCTGTGGATTTTGGAAACGTTCAAATGCTTTGGCATCTTCTTCGTCGATTTGGAGATCATCCATGAAATCATTTTCATTGACATCAATGTTTTCATCCTCTTCGTTGATGTCATCACCTTTAAATATTTAAGAAGCAAAACAATCAAAATATATATCACAAAACACACGTTTCTCTTCGCCTTAACATACCCAAATTAAAGTTAACCGATTTTTTTGGTGTCAAACTGGGGAAGTTTTCTTCATTGAATTCCAATTGTTGTTGTTTGGCTGCAGCCAAAATTTTCTTACTGGTTTTACTGTCCAATACCTGGATAAAGTAAATAAAAAATAAACTTATACGTTATAGAATTACGTCGTGTTTTAAATAGTGCAAATATAATACCGAGGATTCTTCAGCTCTGAAATTAATTTTCTTTCTATCCTTTTGCTTCGCCACCTTGCCATCCATAATCTGTTCGTCCAATGGGACCTTTCTTACGGATGCAACATTTGATTTTTTAGGTTTACCCATTTTTTTGTGAATATTTCTTCTAAACTTATTCGAACAATTGGAAAAATATGCAGAAACCTCCCCACGTGTTGTTGTTTTCAATTGTTGTCAACAATATTAGTGATGACAAATTAGCGATTGGTGAGTATTCATCGATAACAAGCATGTTATCTGTCAAATTTATGTTAACACATGTTCAAACGCTTGATGTGTTCTCAAGGACATATGAAGCACTCTGCCAGAACAGCAAGAAAGTTCAACTTTTAACTACTGCTCTGTTACTAAACTACAAAAATCTACTAGTTGAAATAAATACTGCAGCCCATGGTAGAAGAATATAGGTAAACGCATCGATACAGCTGCTGAGACAATGAACTGTCAAACCAATTTTGTAATTGAAAATGTTGAATGAAAAATTATTTAAATTTGTAAAAATTTTTGAAAAACACGAATTATAATAACCTCCGTATGACGTCGTATAATGCAAGCCACACACGTTACAACTGGTTGTACAACTGGGAGAGGTTATATTCAAGATTGTATCGTTTGTGGCCCGGTTGTACGAAGTTGTGTCTCGGTTGTATGAAAAATCAAAATTTTTTGATATTTGGCATGTTGTACCAACCGATTGTAACGTTAGTGGGCATGTCGCATACAATTTCATTTTGTTTTTATTTTTGAAGAGGCAACACCATTGTTTCGCACATCAAAACAATACGAAATCCAATCAAATGTGTGGTTTTAATGTATTTATAAAAAGGAATTTCAATTTATAAAATGGGGTTTCAAAAATTAATTATAATTAAAAGCTATTGAATCAATTATAGAACATGATTTTTTTTCCGGTGTCATCTTAACTCAAATAAGCTCTACGAAAAGTGTAGTTGTACACTAAGTTGTATCGTTTGTGACAAAAACACACAATTTGAGAACTCTCCAAGTTGTACAACCAGTTGTATATGTAACAACCGTTTTCCGAGGATGACGAAAAATCGCAATATTTGGCTTTAAGTGGCGTTGCCGGTATGCTGGCGTTTAGCGCGGCTATGGCTCGTCGGGTGAGGGGTGGTTCTTGCCACTTGAAGACCTTTTCGGTTGAACACAAAAAAAATATCATACCGGGCTTGCACGAATATCTAAAAGGGGAATATTATTAGAAGCCTGAAACATGCCTAAAAATACAAAAAAACTACACTTGTCTACCAAAAACTCAATCTTAAACTCACTTTAACCCAATTCCTTCCTCCGGAAACAGCTCTCTTGGCGGCTGTCCGACCAAGATATAGCCCTCCCACCGAGCACACCTCTCGCCATGACGTCACCACTCCCTGACGTTCCAAATTTGACCCTTCACTTACCTCCGTTTAAACCATCCCTACCACCTTCTTAATGGCCTTAAGCCAAGACATCATCTTCATTTGGAAGTATACAATTTTATTACACCTATTGTACATTACATATTGATTTATACTATCAATCAATGAAAAAAAGCAGGAAACGTAATTATTAACTCCATAAAAAAAAATTAATTCCAACTCTAAGCTCCTTCTCTTTCTTTTTCCTTTTCAGGGTTCGATGGCGGGTATCAAGAGTTAGGACCACTGACGGCAGCTAATGGACAAGGTTCTTCCCAAAGAGTAAGTACGTAATAGTATGAAGTTTAGCTTTATAACTACATTCCCGGTTCAAGATTAAAAAAATGATAATTTATTTTCCAATTCCAGGCCAGGACAAACAAAAGGCAGTATGTCGACACCACAAAAACAATCGACGAGAAAAAAAAGTGGATACCTAACCTCGAAATGAGCTCAATTCAACGAGGGATCCTGCACTGCAACACCAGGCGAGTAAATCTTAAATTAAACTTCTTTTGTTTACCCCTTTTTATTTAAAAATTGTACTTTTCTTTTCAGGAAAACCGCGGAATCTAATTATGTCGCCTCGTCGTCCGTCTGTCTGTCCGGAGTTTATAGTGACGTCTATAGGGAAGATACCAAGTCACGCTGGTATAGCAGTGACGGAAAATCTGCGCCTCCCTCGATGGATTGGATGGGCGATGGTGTGGCTCTTTACTCCAAAAATTCTGCCAGGACTTAATTTTTAAGATTTTTCTTAATTTTCTTTGTATTTATTAAGTTTTGTTTCAAGCTTAATTCAGTTTCGTTTTGTTTTAATTTTAATTCATTTTCATTTTGTTTAAACTTAATTCAGTTTTGTTTTGTTTAAACTTTAATTCATTTTCATTTTGTTTAAACTTAATTCAGTTTTGTTTTGTTTAAACTTAATTCAGTTTCAAGTCTTTCCTTTTTGTTTAAAATTTTGCCAAACTTTAAGATGTTTATTTAGTTTTTGTATAACTATTAAGAATACTTTCAGGTTTAGTTCTTAAATGTTCACATTTTAGCTTTTTAAATTTTATATTTTGTTTTAAGATTTATATTTTGTTTTAAGATTTAAGCCTTTTTAGCAAAAAAAAAGTTTGGATTTTGTATTCTTTTCATTTATTTTGTTGAACACATCAAATTAATAAATGTAATTCCTTTTACTTATGGAATTTATCGCCAAAAAATGCCGGGTGTTTTACTTCGCTGGGAGCTGGGAGCCACGCATCCAATCTTCTTCGCTGATGAGATAAAAAGGAAAGAATTTCCTTACAATTTCTGCCAGGAAATTCTGGCTGCCATTTTCCTCGTTTAATTTGTCCATTTTCTTTTCAAATTATTCCCCCTTATTGACATTTAAGTCATTGGAATAAACAGCTGTTCCCTAATAATGGTTGACAACATTCTTCTTCTTCTTCTGGCTATCAATTATTTTCATGGTTACCCCTTTTTAAGGCGCACACCACATATAGTGTATGGCTTGCATAAGAAAACATATAAAAATCTACTTATATTTAAAAAAACATTTAAAATTTTTTGACATATCAATGCTCCCAAGCGTTGATGCATCTACCTGTATTCTTCTGCCATGCTACAGCCTAAGACAGAAAATTGTCTGTGTTCGGTATTTTTAAGATTTTAACAGAATTTTTAACGGATTTTATCTTTTGGAAATATTTTTGCATTTTATTCATCTTTCGCGCAAGTTTACTAATTTTAAAAATGAGAAATAATGTAGCATATAATTTTGAATAATAATTCTAGCAGGAAGCGGGCATAGCAGGTCTGTGTTCCTGTAGTGATTGGCGATTGGTACATGCAACTAAATTGAGCCAAGAAGCAAATATGCCAAATTTGGCGAAATAGCTTCCAAATATTGTGCAACCAACCGAATTGAGTCTGTACGAAAGTGTCAAGATTGGTGAAAATCGGTTTAGATATAACCATAGGGCCCAGATATATTTGCTCTTCCAGAACTGCATGAATGTAATATTTTTTTTTAGGATAACAGATTTTCCCTTAATGATATTAAAGTGATGTGTAAAACCAGCAGGTTCTTGCAGGTACTGGAACAAAGCAATTATTATCCGATTTTGTGCCAGCTATCAGAGACACCATACAAATACCTCTGCTAAATTTTATAAAAAAATTTAATTTGAATTTATAAATCCATTCTACATACACAAATCAGAGGTGGGAACCTGCTTTCTATGCAGTGAATTTTGACAAGGTAAATTTCAGAAAATGCAAAGATGGGAATGCTTATGGTTTTGAATAAAAAATACAATAATTTGAAATAAATGCAAATTTCCGACGTGAATGGGTGACGAATTGTACAATTCTATTCTTTTTTCGCGGGTTTTTCCCAAAATAAAAATAAACTAAACCACCTGTTGCATATTTAAAGGCCTCTTTGACACTATAAGACTCCAGCACAGAGTTGCATTTTTCTACAAATTTATTTACAAATTTATAAAAACTGGTATACCATTGCCATTGTGCAATATGTATAATTTTACCCGTTCCACAAGAAACACCCAGATTGTTTTGCCACGGATTTTTAACTCTCAATTTAAGAAGTCTATTGTAATTCGCGTTGCAAGATGCAGGAACTTCCTACCTCTTGACCTGCGTATTTTTCGCATTCTTATAATGGCCTTCGTTTAAAGTTATGTAACTATTTAACTACTACTGACTTTTCACTTATAATCTTTACTAAATATCTTTCCATTTTCACTTGTTGTTTCTTCGAATTTTCGCCTATATAAAGTAATTGCGGCTGGGGAGCCAACAAAATAAAGTATTTTAAAGTAATGTATTATAAAATTAATATTTGTATTATCATAGTTTTTAAGATATTTTCTATTTGATTATGTTACTATGCAATGCTATTTTTGGCCCAAAAAGGCTCTGTGTTACAAAATATTGAATAAATATAATAAAAAAATTCAATTTATAAAAAAATGATACTTTTTAGAAATACATTTTAGCGTTTTTCATCACAATACAACCCTGTATGCAATTACGGCCACAAATGTCAAAATTTTGTGTGTCGTGTAAAAACGGCCGGCCGCCATCTATCATCTGTCTTTTTTGACATCTTGCCTACTCCTTTCAATTTGGTGTTCCTCCAAATCAGACATTAAAAATGAAGGTGTGTAAATTTTTTTGAAAAAATAAGTGAATTTTTGTGCTAAATCAACAAAATACACATAAAATATGCTACAATACGTGAATGGCCATTGAAATTTGAAGGAATTGTGTGTATTCTATGTGCGATTGATCGTATAAACATTGATTGAAATAATTTGACTTGCTCTGCCGCTTATCGGCGGTGTTGTTTTGTGTATTTCGTATGGAGGTCGCAATGTAAACTTATATGTTATTTTTTTTTCTTCATTCTGTTACAGCTCAACGTTTCTTTTCCCGCTACGGGATGCCAAAAGCTTTTCGAAGTTGTCGATGAACACAAATTGCGTGTGTTCTATGAGAAGCGTATGGGCCAAGTTGTCGAAGCCGATATCCTCGGTGATGAATGGAAAGGCTATATGCTCCGTATTGCCGGTGGTAACGACAAGCAAGGTTTCCCCATGAAACAGGGTGTCCTTAGCCATGGTAAATTTAATGAAAACCCTAAACAATAGAAAGTTATTTATAATTGTGTCCTTTATATTTTAGGTCGTGTTCGTTTGTTGTTGAAGAAGGGACACTCCTGCTACCGTCCCCGCCGTACTGGTGAACGCAAACGTAAATCAGTCCGTGGTTGCATCGTTGATGCCAACATGTCCGTCTTGGCTTTGGTCATCGTCAAGAAGGGTGAAAAAGATATTGCTGGTCTTACCGATACCACTGTTCCCCGTCGCTTGGGTCCCAAGAGAGCCAGCAAGATCCGCAAGTTGTACAACTTGAGCAAGGAAGATGATGTCCGTAGCTTCGTCGTACGTCGTCCTCTTCCCGCCAAGGACAACAAGAAGGCCACCTCCAAGGCCCCCAAGATCCAACGTCTCATCACCCCCGTTGTCTTGCAAAGGAAACGCAGACGTCTAGCTTTGAAGAAGAAACGTCAAGTCGCTTCCAAGGAAGCTGCCGCTGATTACGCTAAATTGTTGGCCCAAAGAAAGAAGGAAAACAAGGCCAAGCGCGAAGAAGCCAAGAGACGTCGTTCCGCCTCCATGCGCGAATCCAAGAGCTCCATCTCCAGCGACAAAAAGTAAACAAAGCATATTGTTTTTTAACTTAAGTAAACATTCCTCATATTTGTTTATGAGGAGAAAAATGAAAACAAAATAAAAAGATATGGAAGGAAACTTGTTTTTTAAGAAATCTTATACCTATAATTAAATTGATTCATACTGTTTTGATTTGATGGAAACAAAAATTGGGAAGAGGGGATGACAAAAGATTGTTTACAGGTTTTTATTCCCTTTTTGAAAATCAAGTTATTCCGAGGAATATTTAAATGTCTCCATTTTAATTGTGTGTTTTGAATATCCTTCCGAATTCAAAATTTGGTAAATATTTTGGAAAGCCTACCGAATTGTTTTGGCAGTTACTTAATTTCGATAGTTTTTGCATTTAACAACTAAATTTGGCAACGTCCTATTTGTGTAAATAATATTTGAACGATTCAACAAAAATGAATTATTTGTTCAGTTAGTTCGATTCAAATGTTTAAGGAATACGTTTGTGGAGGAGAATTACTACTTCCGCTAACTCATCCTATTGCGAAATAATACGGGAAAGGTAAATTTAAATATACAATATTTTAATAAAAAACAAGAAGTTATAGCAAAAAAAAAAAACATCTACTGAAAATCGGCATTTGATTGCAAATTTCGATGGTCTATCAAAAAATCGACTTGCACAAACGGGGCGATGCGGATTTTTCTAATCTACAGTCTATTTTACACGTCACTTTTAGAATGGATCTTATTTTTGCTAACCTTAATTTGTTCTGCAACTATCACTTTACTAACTTTACAAAACAAAGTTCTTTTATCGGAAAGTAAATCAATTAAATTAATATGAACATTACCAATTCGTCTCTGTTTTACCCAAGGAGTTAATTGGCTACAATCTATAAATCTAACTTGAAATTAAAACCTTAAACTAAATTAAATTAAAATTTGGGACAGTTTATGAGGTAGTGCATAAACTTTACAAAACTTTAAAATAGTAAACAAGGTTTAAAAGTTGGGTGGGGCGGTCTATGAATGAAGAAGAATGTATCGGTCTACGTCTTCTGGTTCCTTCTCCACAGGGGGTTAACATATTTCTATCAAAATACGATCTGTTATGAAGATAGTAGAACTCGGGCCATTCCTTCTGGTAGCTGCCACACAAAGGGTCAAAGTTTTGATTAACCAAAATGATTATAAAATCCGAAATAAGCATCTAGTTCTCTTCATATTTCACATATTGCATTATTTCCACTTACACAAGATCTACTATGAAGATAGGACATATTTGTCTACTCCTTCTGGTACCTCCCCCCACAAAGAGTCAAAGCTTTGAATAACCAAGAAGCTCATAAAACCCAAAAAAATAACATCCGATTACATTCAGATTCGGTAGATTTTAATATTTCCATCAACACAAGATCTGTTGTAAAGCTATGGTAGAGGTCGGACCATTTCATGTGTTTCCTCCCCACATAGGGTTCAAGATTTGAAAAACAAAACGCCCAAGAAAGCGAAATAAGCATTCAACTCTCTTCAAATTTCACACATACAAACATTTTTGCTAACACAAGATCTGCTGTGTAGATGATATATATCTGCGAACTTCTTCTGGTATCTCACCCACAAAGGGTCACTATTTTCAATACTTTTGTCTGTCATAACTTGCGAAACAAGTCAGCGATTATTTACAACTTGATATATCTAAACATTTCTCTCAACCTTGAATCCTGAGATGAATGTGAAATTTATGATTTCGCATAAAATTGGATATAAAAGTTCGATTTTCTTGTAATTTTGCCCATTTCAATATTTTTATTTGTATTAGATGAGACATAATAATGGAATACTTCAAATTT